ATATATTTCATTCGAGAACATAGATTCGTGACTCTAAAAACAGTAACAACATATAATTGTGTGTAACTAAAAAACACAATATATTTTGTTTCTTATTAAATTTTAAAATTAATAAGTCGTGTTTAACTTTGTAGTAGATAAAGTAGTTGATGCATTATAATAAGTTGTGTTTAATTTTATAAGTGGGGTCATGAGAAAAATCCACTCTTTTCAGTGGGTGCTCTCTCTCTTTGTTGGCTTCTGCTTGTTTCTCTTTTAATTTGTTGCCTTGACTGTGTGTTTATCTTGTATTTGTTGTTGGAGATTTGTAAGGTTTATGTATTCTGTCAGTTCTAATTCTTAATGCAGTACTAAGGGTTACAACTTTGTCACTGGCCTTAGTATGTGTTTTATGTTCAGTTGCTTCTTGTTACATTTGGTGGGTTTGAGAATTTAGAGTGCCCGGGTGTGGGTGACTCTCTTGTATTAGGACCAGTCGGTCCTCGGGTTGTATTCATGTACATTTTGTGATATAAATACCCTCTCTCGTTTCGAAAAAAAAAGACGTTTTGTTGTGATAATATGCTCTCATCAATCTCTTATGAAAATAAAAACAAAATTTTTATATGAACAAAAATCAAACGATAATTGACACATTATGCTATTTTTATTTGTAAAAAATTTAGTTGAAGAAATTTAAAGTAATACGAAAATAGTTGATAAGGAAAATTTTGTCGATGTAATTTTTATTATACTTATATAAAAAAATATTTCGTAATATTCTTATATTGCTTAACATAAATGAAATTAAATCCGATGCTATGTTTAAACATTAAAATAGTTATTTTTTATGTTGTATACAAACCATGACAATAAATGTTCACCTCATTGTACAAAGTAAAATTTTATGTCTATACATATCGAATTGGTTTTTGTTATACACTTTTAAGTTGTATTTTATTTTTATATTATATTAAGAAAATAATCAAGATGATCACCACCGATGTTAGATCAGTAACCAAAACTTATTTTGCATGAAATTTAAGATAAATATAATTAACTTATTAATTAGAAAAACAAAATTATTTCCAAATAACAATAATGAAATATTTAATAATAATAATAAGATATAAGTCTAAAACAATAAAAATTAAAACTCTGAATTGTGATGTATGATGAAGAAAAAATAGTTGTTGCATTTATAGTAAGTTGTAGAACTTTATATGTCGCAATGTTTCAATAAAGATGATACATTATCATAATTCTTATAAAAACAATATACTTATACATATTAAACATTAGCAATAAAATTAACTCGTTATGCCTCCATAAATCGTAGTTGTATAATTATGGACCAATAAAAAAATTAAATTGAAGGAAAAAATTTTAAGCGCATGTGTTTAAGTAGCCTCTTCAAGATTTTAAAAAATAAAACAAATTGTAACAACTAAAAATAAAACAAAAATAACAAAAGCCAATATGAAATGACCTAATATATAGTTGAAAATTCATTGAAGAAATGAACTATATATATGCATTTTTCTTTTCACTCTTCACAATCAAATCTATGAATTGCCTCTTTGAAATGATATCATATCTCTTTATTTGCATAATATCACTTTTAGTTTTATTTTTGTCTTTTTACAACATCAGTTATGAAATTTTAATCTATTGTTCATCTGTAAAATATAGTCAAATTTCAGGTCATTTTTCAATCCTAAGATGTCTTATATTTTTTTTCTTTTGTTTTCATTATTTTCATATTCATCGTTTATTGGTAAAAGAAACATTGGAAAATACATCTCTTTTAGCCGACTAAATTATGTTATTTATGATAAATATAACTTCATTATTTTTTATTTCGCTCTCTATTAGTATTTTATTGATTATGTAAGTAAATATATTATAAAATAAAATAAACAAAAGTATGAAATTTGAAACTTCGACCTCGGGGTCCTATATGCCCAAAGAACGGACGTCAACTCATCGACCCACGGCCCCGAGACCTTCTCCAATCTGATCTTCAGTCCGTTAAGTATGATTCTGTTTGTAACTTCAACCTAGCCTTTAGCTTGGGGATGTGCGACTGGTGCAAAATGTTTCTCGATCTTCATATCTTCACACCACGCCCTAATCTTTTTTCCATCGAACTGCGTTCTATTATCTGAGATCAACACCTTGGAGACCCTGAACCTGCAACAAATATTGATATATAAAAAAATGCATGAATTTGTCCGCCGTGATCTTGGCTAACGGCTCGGCCACGGCGGCATAGTCCCCACTAGGTCGATGCTCTACTAAGTGAATGGAGTTGGAACACTCATTGTGGTCATCATCTCAGCAGGTTGATGGATGTGAGGCCCATGTTTCTCGCATTGTAAGCACTTCTGCACTGCATCAGCTCGCATAGCGGATCAGAATAAACCAGCTCAAAGGATTTTAGCAATTAGCGACCCGACCTTGTTGTGATCACCGCAACACCCATTATGCATCTCCTTCAACACATATCTTCCTTCCTCCTTGGTCACACACGTCAAATGTGGCCGAGAGTACGACCTCTTGTAGAGGATCCCACCTTGCTCGAAAAATATCTTGATATACTTTAAGTTTCCTTCTTTTAGCTCCCGCAAGATGGGAGTTCTCCAATCCTCGAACTCATGTATCTCAGCCACCTTGATAGATCACTTATCCATGTGTAATAGCGTAACATTTCTACTCTTGCAATCCACCAGATTTTGAGCTGTTTCTAACAGTAGGTCAGCTCGACCTCTTTCTCCTCTCTGGATCTAAATCAGCTTGAACGAGCTAAACTCCTTCTGTAATGTCTTGACCTCGTCCACATACTACTGAAGTCAATCCTATTTGACCTCAAAGCCTCCTAGCAATTGGCCTACGACCAACTGGGAATCATAATGTACTTGCATTTCTCGAGCTCCTCCTGCCCACACCAACTGCAAGCCTTTCAACAAAGCCTCAATGTTTTACATGTTAAACTCCAGATGAGTCGCAAACTCCAAATTATTGTCCTTCGGCGAAATAAGCATGTTCTTCAAGTCTGCTTCTCCCTTAGAGACCGATCCATCAACAAACACTTATCACCTTCTGACTACTTCAACCTCCAAGCATGTTCCTTCTTGAATGAAATTTTCCAGAACCTGGGCCTTGATCGCCTTTCAAGGTCCATAGACCATCGAGTACTCACTTACCTCAATTGTCTACTTGACCATTTGACTTGAACCTGAAGATCGACCCAGTGTTTCTCCAACGGTCAAGTTCCTCCTCACCTTGACCTTATGCGTAAGAAAACACGACCTCAACATCATAACTATTGCGACCACTGTCATTGCCCCATTTTCGACCTCTGAGTATCTTAATTTGGCCCCTTGCATCACCCGACTCACTTAATAGATTGGATATTGGGCCATACATTCTTCATGTAAGAGTACCAAGCTCACTGCTGCAGTGCCTATCGAAATGTATAGAACAAGATCTTTGTCTTACACCAGCTTGGCAAATAGTGGCAGATCGGCCAGAACAATCTGCAACTCCTCAAAAGCTTTTTGGGCTTCCTCCGTCCAGCTGAATTTCTAGCTCTTTTTCAATGTTTTGAATAATGGGCTACTCCTTTCGACTACCTTTGAAATGAATAAATTTAACCATGTTATTCGACCCGTCAAAATCTGCACTTCCTTCACATTTTTTGGGGGTCTCATTTCTAACACTGCTCGTACTTTCTTAAGGTTCATCTCCCTACCCTTCTTTGTCACCATATAATCCAAAAATTTACCCGGCTTAATACCAAAAGAGCACTTAGTCGAGTTCAGCTTCATCTCGTACCTCCGTAATATGGTGAAAGTCTCACTCAGGTCTGCTATGTGATCAACCTTCACTCTGATCTTAACAAGCATATCGTTCACGTACACCTTCATATTTCGACCAAACTGCTCTTTGAACATCTTGTCGACTAGGCGTTGATAGGTCGCGCCTGCATTCTTCAGGCCGAATGGCATGACCACATAACAATACATCCTCTTGCTTGTAACAAAACTCACCCTCTTCCTATCCTCTTTCACCAACGGGATCTGATAATAGCCTTGAGAAGCGTTCATTAGTCTCAGCAATTCGCACCCTGCCATTGAGTCGACTAGCTGATCAATCCTTGGTAATGGATAAAGGTCCTTGGGGCACGTGTTGTTGAGGTCCCTGAAATCAATGCACATTCGCCATTTTCCCTCCGACTTAGAGACCATCACCGTATTAGACAACAGCTCATGAAATTGAATTTCGACCACCTGACCTGCTTTTAGAGATTTATCGACCTCATGCTCGATAATTTTATCAATTTCTGCTGCGTGGTGGCATCTCTTCCTCTGCACTGGTCGAATGTTGAGGTCTATGTTTAGCCGATGCTCGATAATATTCACGTCAATCTCCGTGATCTCCTCTAATGTATAGAAAATATGTCTGTAACTCATGTACCAGCCTAATCAGCTTTGTTTTCAAAGGATCTTCCAACTTCACCCCCATTCGGAACTTCCCCTCATCATTCTTTTCAATCATCTGAATCTCTTCGACCTCTTCTTCAAGTTGTATATCTGTCTTATGTTTCACTTTGTCCACCCTTGTCTTTTCCTCTTTCAACCTCGAACCACTCGGCGTGCTCAACTACTCCTCCTTTGGGGCATTTAACCTCCTTGCATTTTATCTGTTCACCACCACTGTGGTCTGATAGCACGTCCTCAACGTCAACTTATCTCATGCTACCTCTCCCACTTTCTCACCAACTACATACTTAATCATCATATGGTACATCGACACCACCGCCTGGATAGCATTTAGGCTTGTCCTCTCTAGAATGATGTTATATGATGACTCTACTGCCACGACCATAAACCTAACCATCTTTACCTTCCTTGTCGGTCCTGTCTCTAGGGCCACTAGCAAAGTGATCTTACCTATGGGGACGACTTCGTTCCCATTAAACCCACATAGCGATGTAAAGACCTCCTTTAACTCCACACCCAAATCCAATTGTCTAAAACAATCATAGAGCATCAAAAATCGAGCTCCTTGTGTCAATGAACACCCTTTTCACATCGTACCCGCCACTCAACTGTAATCACTAACATATCATTATGAGGCACTTGTAATCCTTGGGCATCCTCACTTCAAAAACTGATCACAAGTGTTGAAGCTGCTATGCTGACTTCCCCTCTCTTCCTATTTGCAGGTTGAGCATGTTCGTTCCTTGCATTATTGGAGTCCCCGTCAATGGAATCTCCCGAGATCATGTGAATGACCCCCCTTTTAGGTGGGGCCTCGCCCTCTTTAAAGCTACAATCCTCTTTTTCTCGATCTCTTTTACCTCTACCTCTTCGACCGCCTCGGCCCTCACGTCACTCTCTGTCTTTCTCTTCATCCTGATCCTCTTTATCATCTGAGTCCTCTTGACATTTTTTCTTTTCCTTATTTCCTTGTCCTTGTAAACAAATTCCTTAAGGTGACCAGCTCGAATCAACCTTTCAATCTCATCCTTCAGATGTCTTCAATTGTCAGTCATGTGGCCATAATCTTTGTGGAACCTGCAAACTCGAACCGACTTTGGCTGTGTCGGCCTGTCTCCTTAACTTTGGCCATGTCATTGTTCTACCATCAATCCTTCGCTCCATCGCCTTGAGCACTTTCGCCATCTGCGTTTTCAATGGTGTATACTATTCATACCTCTGACCGTTTTTCAAGGGTCGACCTTCCCATATATCCTCCTGTCCCCGCTCTGACCTGCCCTTCTTGGGTGAATACGCCCTATCATTTTTCGGTTGAGGTCAAGCCAACTGCTCGAGCTTTGCAAATTCTTCTTCTGTCTCCTCCATATTGCCATACTTCTTGCATCTCTTCAAGACCTCATCATATGTTCGAGTTGGTGTCTTGACTAAAGAAGTCTGACATGGACCAACTCAAAGACTCCTTATCAAACATCTCACCTTGACCTCATCAAAGGCCGAAGGGATCTCCACATGATCGATTATCCCTCGCCACAAGTTTCTCAGCGACTCATCATTCTCTTGCCGCATCACCATCAATGTTAAGTACGTTGTCTCCTACGCGATCACGCTGGCGTATTAGTTCAGAAATAAGATTGAGAAATCTTCAAAATCCTTCATCGACCCTGGGGGGAGTTAGTGAAACCAATCCTGAGCTACCCCTCTTAAAGTAGCCAAGAAAGCTCGACAACAGACAGTATCAGAATACACATGGAAAACTACCATATTATCGAATGACATGACATGCCTGGATGGGTCCGTCGACCACTCATATGTTAAGTTCACCTTTTTGAAGTTTGTTGGTAAGACCGCCTTGAGGATCTTCCTGGAGAAGGGGTTCCCTCAAGCTCGACCTGGTGCTTTTCCCTCGACTTTAGCCTGCAACTCGCGGATTTGCTCCCCCATCCTTTCCACAGCTCGATCTTTGTAGAAGTCTTGGTATTGGATCCACTTTCTCAATAGTGCAAGCTGCGTAATTCCCAGAAGTCGTATTTTTAGTATAGAAAAGAGGATAGCGGGTTTTAGAGCCCCTGCTGCATGACTCATCCATTTTGATCTCCTGCTAGTTCGTCCCCATCAATGTGGTCGGTGCGGTGGTTGTGTGAGACGTCTGGTGGATGGCTTGTTGGGATTCTCCTGCTGCGACGACATTGGCTATCATCTTTTCTAGCTCTTCCTTCGACATCGTGACAAATTATCATCCTCCTTGCTCGGCTTCACTCTAGGATGGTCCCACCAGTGGGATCTGAACCGAATGTGGTTGCACCTACGCTGGAACCATAACTCCTTGAACCGCTTGAGCATCTTGCGGGTTACTCGAGCCTGCAACTGCACATGGACCACCGAGGAGACCCCTAAGACCATAGGATGAGGCGTTGGAGTCGCTAGGGTCTGCGAAGGTACGTTGAAGCCCGGTGGTGGACCTGCTCTGAACGGACATGTGCTCGGCCACACATCATCAAAAGTCTGCTCCAAATTCATTTTGGGAATCTCGCTCGCCATGGTTATGGTGTGTGATGGATTTTTGAACGAAAGGTCCAAGTAAACGACGCCAAATGTTATACAAATGACCTCCGAGTGGCTAGGATTCAGCCTGCTTTGAGTTCCTTTCCGGTTTAACGCCTTTAGACCTGTAAAAACTCTCATACCGGAGGAATTTTCTGGTGAAGAACCTCCGATACATATGTTAGCATTGTGAAGAAGATGAAGTGTTGTATGTATATAGAGAATATAGAGAATGCAATGTGATAATGAGCATACCTCACTCCCTTAATTATATAGAGAGGGATACCTTGTTGCCCAAGACTGCCCGAGTGGGCTGCCCGGACTGCTCGTTCGTACTGCTCGTTCGTACTGCTCGAATTGCCTGATATGTCTGAAATGACCAATTCTGTTAGAGCACGTGACCCTATTCACGTGTGACTCTTATCTTATTAAAATTCCTTATTATCCATTAGTCTTGTATATTAGACTTCCTAATCGTGCGACCATCTCGAACTCATTGAGGTACAATGTTGCTTGTACCAATCCTAAGTGTTGTCCTTCTGGTCGATCCTACGGACAACCGTACATTCAGGTCGAGTTTTCAACAGGTCATTCGGGGGCCCTAGCTCGACCTGTCACTGATCTTTGAACTCCTCACGTCTTCTTCGACCTGAAGACCCTGCTTTGCACTGGCGTTCGACCTCCGTTCGTCCTTCCTGCGATCATGTTTGACCAGTTGGTTCGCTCGACTTAATCTGTCGGTTTATTGGTGTTGCTCTTTCCAGTGCAGTAACCCATATCATTAGATATTTTGTATCCAATCATGTCCTTATAGGGCGATTGAATATACATGAAATCAATTTTGATCAAGTGTATTTAAATTGAACATACATGAAATCAATTTTGATCAAATGTATTGGTTAAAATGAGTTAATTTTGAATAAAGTTGATTGAGTGAGTTATTTAGTGAAAATTTGAATTTGTATTCAAATAATATTTAAAATGTGATGATTAAACTTGATATATTGTAAAAATAGGAGATAATTTATTGAAAAATTATAGATAGTTAATAATATGCGAATGAATTAATGGTAAATTAAAACTGATATAATGTATAAAGATGATTGATTGATATTGTTTAATTATATTAATAGTATTGAGGAGAATTATGGTAGACTAAATTTGAATTAAATTTAAATCGTGTAAAAATATTATCTAGTCATTCTAAACTGGTTTTAACTTGTATCCAATCACACCTAAGAGTCCATAAACACACACAGACGTGCGATACTCGAGTGGAGTTCCCCGCATTCTGAGTCTGTGCATGTGCGAGCTGTACGCATATACACAAGGTACAAATACAAAGACCCATTAATTCATTCTCTTGACCACTCTACATTTTTAAAAATCCCATGCAATTTATTTACTCCTGTTACCCTGTATGAAGGAATGACACCTTATATTCTAGGGACACTTCTTTAAAAATTTTTAATCCCTTTTCAATCTTTTATATCAGTCCCTACATAAAAAAAAAATCTACTGCACTCCCTACCCTTCTAATTATTCTTTCATTTAACTCTCTCTTGTTAAAAAAAAATCAAAACTAAATTAACTAATGACATCATCCCACTAACAACCTAACAATACACATTATTTTATTATTTTTTCTCTCTCTCCACTACTAACTTTTTTAATTGTTTATTATTTTTCGTTTTTTCTTTTCAACACACTTTTTATCATTTTCTTTTTCTCATCTTTTACATTTCATCTCTTCTACTACTATTTTTTCTTGTTTTGTTATTAATTAATATAGATTTATTTTTGTATAAACTATCAAAATAAAAAAAATATATATTTTACTAATCTTTATTTTATATAAATATATATTATACTAAATCTATAAATCTATATTTTTGTCGTTCAAATTTATCAATTAATTCTCTAAAATTAAATTATAAATTTTAAATTTATTAAAAAATATTTATTCAAAGCTCTATCTAATTTTCAAGAAAAATATATATCAACTAGTACGATACCCGTATACTACATGGGTACGTAAATATATTAATATTTGTACAATAGAGAAACTAAAATAATTTATTTTTATATTGTAAAATTATGTATAATGAATATAACAAATAATGAATAACTAACAAAGTAATAATTAATTCAAAACGGGGTCCGTATTTTTGTACTTACTTAATTTATTTAAAATCTATGACAAAACACATTAAAATAATTATTTTATGGTGTATTATCGAATTAGATTTTTATTATATTCGTTATAAAATAATTTATGTTTTATTCGTATTTTTTAAATTATTTTTTTTAATAAATATAGTTTTATTTATAATGAGAGATGTAATTATATTTTATATATGCAATATAGATGTCAAATCGAATATCATTAAAATATAATTATTTTGAGATATAACATACAAAAAAAAAATAAAAATAAAAAATTATAATGATTTAAAAATAAAAATAATACATATTTATTATAACAATTATTATATGAATTAAGAAAAAGAAAGAGTAGTATATGGTAACTTGAGAAAAAAAGCCTAAAATAGTTTATGGTAAATCTAAAGCCTAAAACGGATCATGTACATGTGTCAATACAAAACATATAATTATGCTAAATAAACTTCTGAAGCATATGAGTCTGCCACTTAGGCTCGTGGCATTCAGAAATTATATATAGGGGCGATTTATAAAATTATTAATAATATCTTATGACAAGTTATTATAGGGATATGCTAAAAGTTGAGAATTATATTACCTTGATTTTATAATAAATCGACCTAAAATTCGACTTTCATACCCATACCAAATAAAATTCACACCACTTATTTTATTTTCAAAATTAAATACACTTTTATCCATACCATATAAACTCATATCATTTAAATTTGGACTTCATGCCAAAATAAAACCGCACTCAATTTATTAATCATAATACTCAACTGTTATCTTATTCTAAAATTTAGTATCATATAATATTATTAAAATAGTTTTTTTTTTAAATTAACAACCCAATTTTATTATATGCAAATATTTGATATTCCTAACAAATAAAATTTTATACTCTAATAGCTTACGCAACATGAATTTCTATTTACGTTGCGTAGTATAAGAGCCAAAACGCAACGACTTATGTTATAAACATTTTAAAACACTAAAAGGAATATAATTTCAATATAAATGACCGTTAAGGCGATATTATATTATTTATTGTGAAACCCCCCGTGCGTAAAAAAGGACTACAATTTTAAATATTTATTTATTGAAAATTAAGCACATCATTTATTTTTTAAAATAAAATAAATAAATGTTATGATAGGATATCAACCAATTTAATGCGTGATTTATCATGTTTATCAGTTTCATATATGAAACGTGTCGCTTAAGTAATTTTAGTTGCAATAAATATGGAGTTGTGGATATATTAAGGGATGACTTTTATTTATATTGAAATTAAAAAACAAATTTGTTTTCATAAAATGAAAATTACATAAAAATAAAATTAAAATATTTCTAACTTTCACCATTTGTCGAGTAAACTTAATTAAACACATTCAAATACTCATAGAAAATAATGTATAAGTGATTTTGAATAATATAAACATCATTCAAATACACATTCAAATTCTTTTATGTTATTGGAATTGGTACTATAGACGCGATATTGGGTACTAAACTACCATATAAATTGTGCAAAATTAAATAAGATATGTCTATTTAAAATTAGTACACAACTCGAATGGTGTACATAACTGATAATAAGTTACATTATTCCATTTCAAAATAAGTGTCATTTTAAAATTTTTTATTCAAAAATTCAATTTGAATACAATGTGGTTACATTAAATAAATATTTTGGTAAAGTTTTTTATCATATATTTAAAAATATATGTGAATAATAAGTATAATATTACTGAATTATATTTTTATTATATTTGTTATAAAAAATTTATGTTGTATTCATATTTTCGAAATTAGTTTTTTGATAAATACAGTTTTATTTATAATGATAGATGTAATTATTTTTATTTTATATATGCTATATGGATGTCAATCGAAGATCGTTAAAACATGACTATTTTGAGATATAATATAAAAAAAATAAAATAAAAATAAAAAAGTTATATTGATGTAAAAATAAAAGAATACATAATTATAACAATTATTATATGAATTAAATGATGAAGGGTGTCATTCAATGAAATGAAGTGTATTAGTAGTGTTTTCTCATTAATGTGTCGAGTTCATGACTATTTTACGATTAAACTCAATTAAAAACATTTTAAATCTCATATAAACTATTGTGAGAGTGATTATGGGTCATATAAACATTATTTGAGACCAAAATTCGGTGTTTTTATGTGTTCATTTCAAGTGGTACTGAAGTTCCAATATCAGGTACTACAACAATACAAAACGGGTACGATCTAACTCTATGTCTGGTACTACTTTTTGTAAATGTTGACCAAAATTGAAATGATCCATTTTCCTTCACAAAAGTAGGTATTAATCGATCAAAAACAGGTACCACGTAGAAGAAGATTAGGTACTATTTTGGCTAAAAGAGGTATTATTTTAAGAATTGAGATTTCTCTAATTCTTCATGTCTACCATGACACGTGGATCGTTCACACGTGATTTGGATGAAAAATAGTGGAAGTTAAAACATATGGGTAGAATTTTGAGTAGTCGTATATGATGGATTCTATGAGATGAAGTGTGTCATTCAATGAAATGAAATGTATTAGTAGTGTTTTCTCATTAGTGTGTCGAGTTCATAACCAATTTGCGAATAAACTCAACTAAAAACATTTTAAATCTCATATAAATTAATGTGAGAGTGATTATGGGTCATATAAACATCATTTGAAACTGAAATTCGGTTTTTTTATGTGTTCATTATAAGTGGTACTAAAGACCCAATATCTTAAAACTGGTACTATCTTACTCTATGTCTTCTACTACTTTTTGTAAATGTTGACCAAATTGAAATAATCCATTTTCCTTCACAAAAGTAGGTACTAATTGATCAAAAACAGGTACCATGTAGAAAAATATGTTGTACTATTTTGGCTAAAACAGGTACTATTTTAAGAATTGTGATTTATCTAATTCTTCATGTCTACCATTACGCGTGGATCGTTCACACGTGATTTGGATGAAAAATAGTGGAAGTTAAACATATAGGTAGAATTTGGAGTAGTCATGTATGATGATTCTATTAGATGAAGTGTGTCATTCAATGAAATGAAATGTATTAGTAGTATTTTCTCATTAGTGTGTCGAGTTCATAACCAATTTGCGAATAACCTTAACTAAAAACATTTTAAATCTCATATAAATTAATGTGAGAGTGATTATGGGTCATATAAACATAATTTGAAACTGAAATTCGGTTTTTTTATATGTTCATTATAAGTGGTACTAAAGACCCAATATCCGGTACTACAACAATATAAAACTGGTAGTATCTTACTCTATGTCTGGTACTACTTTTTGTAAATATTGACCAAATTGAAATAATCCATTTTCCTTCACAAAAGTAGGTACTAATCGATCAAAAACAGGTACCATGTAGAAGAAGATGCGGTACTATTTTTGCTAAAACATGTACTATTTTAAGAATTGTGATTTCTTTAATTCTTCATGTCTACCATTACGCGTGGATCGTTCACACGTGATTTGGATGAAAAATAGTGGAAGTTAAACATATAGGTAGAATTTGGAGTAGTCATGTATGATGATTCTATGAGATGAAGTGTGTCACTCAATGAAATGAAATGTATTAGTAGTGTTTTCTCATTAGTGTGTCGAGTTCATAACCAATTTGCGAATAAACTCAACTAAAAACATTTTAAATCTCATAAAAATTAATGTGAGAGTGATTATGGGTCATATAAATATCATTTGAAAATAAAACACGGTCTTTTGATGTGTTCATTACAAGTGGTACTAAAGACCCGACATCTGGTACTAAAACACCATAAAATGGTACTATCATACTCTAGGTCTGGTTCCATTTCATTGACCAATAGTAGGTACTCATTGATCAATAATTGGTACAGCATAGAAGAAGAAGAGGTATTATTTATGGTAAAACTGGTACTATTTTAAGAATCGTGATTTCTATAATCCTTCATGTCTACCATGTCACGTGGATCGTTAACGCGTGATTTGGATGAAAAATAGTGGAAGTTAAGACATATAGGTAGCATTTGAAGTAGTCATGTATGATTATTCTATGAGATAAAGTGTATCATTCAATGAAATGAAGTGTATTGGTCGTGTTTTCTCATTAGAGTGTCGAACTCATGACCATTTTATGATTAAACTTAATAAAAAAATATTTTAAATCTCATATAAACTAATGTGAGAGTGATTATGGGTCGTATAAACATCATTTGGGACCGAAATTAGGTGTTTTCGTGTTTTCATTATAAGTGGTACTAAAGACTCGATATCTATTACTAAAACACCATAAAGTGGTACTACCTTACTCTAGGTCAGGTACTACTTTTTGTAAATGTTAACAAAAATTGAAATAGTCCATTTTGGTTGACCAAAAGTAGGTACAAATTGATCAAGAACAGGTACTACTCATAAGAAGAAGCGGTACTATTTCCATCAAAACTGGTACCATCCAATGAGATGAAGTGTATAATAGTAGTGTTTTTCCATTAGTGTGTTGAGTGCGTGACCAATTTGCAATTAAACTTAATTAACCAAATTTCAAATCTCATAAAAACTAATGTGAGAATGATTATGGGTTGTATAAACATCATTTTCCACCGAAATTCAGTGTTTTTTGTTATATGTTCGTTACAAGTGGTATTGTAAACCCCATATCAGGTACTACAGCAACATAAAATTGGTACTATCTTACTCTATTACTGGTACTACTTTTTGTAAATGTTGACCAAATTTGAAGTAATCATATTTTGTTCTTTCTACAAAGCAGGTACTAACTGATCAATAACTGGTATTGCATAGATGATGAAGTGGCACTATTTGTTGTAAAACTGGTACTATTTTACAAATTTTGATTTTTTTTTATGTTCGTCGGAGTTGTTACTGAAGACTCGAATCTAGTACTATAACATCATAATTGCGGTGCTATCTTACTCTAGGTCTGATACTAATTTTGAAAATTTTGACCAAATTTGAAGTAATCTACTTTTTGTTTTTTCTACAAAGTAAGTACTAATTAATGAGTAACTGGTACTGCATAGAAGAAGACGTGGTTTTATTTGTGGTAAAACTGATATTATTTTACAAAATTTGATTTTGTTTATTGGTACTATTTGTTGTAAAACTAGTACCATTTTACTAATCGTGATTTCTTTAATCTGTCATGTCTACCATGTCTAAAAAGCTACAATTAGTCAACAAAAGAGATAGAAGAAGTAGATTTCTAAATTAGCTCAATTGTTTTTAATGGTAATGAGGAACTTGGCAAAACAAAGGTTTAAAATGTAAAACAAGACTACAATTACTCGATATGGACATTAGAATTATATATTTTGTTACAAGGAAATTTAGTGATAAGCACCTGGAGAAAATAGATGTGTATTGCTAGCGTAAACAACACTAGTGAAGACATACTGAAAGGTAGAAGTTGATATATAAAAAATCGACAATCGAGAAGTAGAAAGGCAATGTTTTGTGACCGTCATAATCAACTCATGATCTTATAATTTCCAACATCCATAGCAATAAAGAAAAATGTCACTAAAAAACATCTAACCAGCAGCTAATGTTTATCATAATATTTGTAAGAATTCACATTATGAAGAGCTTTTCAAGATAAAAACGAAAAGCCTCAAAACCACCCAAGCAAGATGCAAGAAAAAAGTAAATCCAAGTAAAGCCCTAGCAAACACCAACCAAAAATTCAAATTCAAGCAACCCAGTATTTAACACTAAAAAGATCATACTGGTCCTCATATTAAAATAAAAGAGGAAAAACATATCACAAACACCACCAGAAAAATAAGGAACGAACGAAAGAAAGAAAACCCAACAAAATTCCACCTTGGACTCAATCCACAGAACCACTTACCACATTAGAAACATCAATAATGTTATTTTTCTGGAAAGAATTGAAATGAGCGATAGGAGGCCGCTGCAGCTGCGGCTGGGGTGGAGCAGGCGAGGAGTGCCTTTAAGTGGTCTCATCGGCATCCACCGTCCAACCTGCCTCCCGAGCCAGTGCGGCGATGACGTTATTCATGTCGGCGCGCGAGGGGAGGGGGAAGTTACCGTACTGCTGGAGACCGGCGAGCATCCGGCTCGTGATGGCCCTCGGGTGCCGCTCCCGTAGCTTCATCTGCTCCGTTTCCTTTTCCCTCTCTTTCCTGCTCTTGGTTTCAGTCGAACTGGAATTGATTTGGAAGCCTACCCAAGATCGTGCACCTTGGCCACATAATTGAGCTCTGCTAACAAGCAATTGAGTTGGGATTAGATCTTTGAAGAATTTGGGGATCTTGATTTGGGATTAAATTTTTCAATTGGGGATCTGGGAGAGTCCCGATGTTTTTTATTTTTTTCTTCTTACATCTTGCAATTTTCAGAGAGAAAGAGATGATCGACGATGGAATTTTCAGAGAGGAAGAGACGATGGAATTATGAGAGAGAAATAGAGACGGCAACGAAGAGAGAGAGCATAATGAAGAAGAGAAAGAGATTTTTTATGTTTCAGACAAAATAAATAAAAAATAATAATATTACTATATATATGGGGAGTGATTTGGAAAGTGCAATTAAAAATTAGGGAGTGCAGAAGAATAAATTTTAGCACGGGAACTGACAAGGAAGATAAAAAGGAGTGTGAGGATTTAACTTGAATTTTCCGTATATTCTACATGCAAGATGGGATATTTGTATGTATATCTATTTTAGGATCATGCATTATAGATTTATGACCCCAACTTCAAAATATGTATACTATTATCAAGAAACAATTAATTAAAATAGAAAAATGAAATGGAAGTGGGCTACATCTACATGCCTGGGGATTGGTACACAGGGGCCAAAATGGCATTAAATGGGTTGGCAGAGGGAATGATGGAAATTCCTGCAGGTTTTTAATGATAGGATAATATGTCCAAAATAAACAAACAGAAGTAGGACTATTTATTACTGGACTCTGACTCATGCCTTTTGTCTTACACATTATACCCTGCAAC